TCATGTTATTTGTAATACCTCAAGAGGTATAAAAGAGCTTGGTTTTAGACCAAGTGAGAATCATCATGTTCATAACAATCTTTTAATTATTAATCTAATAATTAATACTTCCTAACACATTGTAATAATAATATTTTTATTGCTAATAAAACACATAACATATTTTACCTTTAAAAATAATAATCTCTAATAATTAATAAACCACCAAGGGGAAACCTTTGCTGCCCATAGCAGATAACCAACATTTTAATTATTGAGAGACATCTCAAGGGGACGCCTTTGGGATATAATTACATATAGAACCTAGGGAACCTTTTATCCAAAGGATAAAAGTTATATTTATTTTAAATTGACTGTAAGTCAGCGAGTAGGCTGTGTGTCATATATATATAAATATTGGAAATTGACCATAAGTCAGTGAGTAGGCTGTGTGTCAAACAATAGAGTCAACCATAAGTCAGCAAGGAGGCTGTGTGTTGAGCTATAAATATCCTATTAATTAGGAAACTCAGATTGCACACTCACAATACCAATTATCATGCTAAAGATTTTGAAATTATAATTTCCAAAAACAACCTTGATGAAATTAAGAATCATTTGTAAGTTTAAAAATCTTTCATTGATTCAGAAAGGACTTTTTAAAATCTTAAAATCTTTTCTTAGCTATTATATTAGAAAGAACAAAGAGTATGAAGAATTGAATATTTCCATAAATGAAGGTACCTGGCAGTTAGATTCTATATCAATTCCTTTAAAGATAGCTGCCAGAGAGATAGAAGGGTTAAAATTAACAGTGTAAGTGGGTCATATTACTATTTAATTTTAATTTGTGGGGTACAATTATGGGCCCTATGTAAATTTTTACACAATTTCTATGGATACTATTTGATTTAATTTAAATATTTTTAAAGAGCAGAAAAAATTAATGCTGGGTCTAAAAAAAGAATCAAGGAACAAAGTAAAGCTCCGCATGAGCCAGCTTGAGCTTGGCTTGAAAAAATAATGATGGCTCGAGTCAAGCCAAGCTTATAAACAACCGGCTCAACTCGGGCTTCTTGGCTTGTGAACCAGCTTGAGCCAGCTTGATTAATATGATCAACGGTTACTCAAAATAAATAAAATGTTAATAATTTAAATAATAAACATCAAATAAATATATTAAAAAAATATAACGACTATTTTGATGAGAAATTAAATTATTCGCTATTTTATTCGTGTCATTAGAGATATGTTGCTATTAATAATATTAACAATACATTACGCCTTGTAAATTTATACTAGCCAAAAAAGGCAAGGACCATTATTAGGAATTTATTATAAGTGACATATTAATTGCCGATCCTTTTATAATCGGCAGAAAATTTTCAAATATTATTAAAAAATTTTGGGATAAGATAAATATA